CTGCAAAACTTTGATCGGCAGAACTCGTCCCAAAGCTGGTAATGAAATCAAGGAACTTACCGGGAATTCTGCGCTCCCGTCCGCTATGCCTCGTGAGCACTTCTGTCGAGCAGTTGTCACGTTCTGGTTGCTAAGGGAGCGCGCCGGTTGGTTCCTCCTCCTCGTCAACAACTTGAACGTCAATTGGTTCCTCCAGCTCGTCAATCACTTGAACGTCTGCGGTTGGTTCTTCCATCTCGTCTTGAACGTCTTCTGTTTCTAGTTGTTCCTCTCGGCAATCATTATCTCCAAATGGCATCGGCATCGACTTCACTGTAGCTTCAACGACTTGTCGCTCGTCGAACACAACATCACGAGACGTGAATATCTTCCTCGTTCTAGGGTCCCAAATGCGATATCCATTCGTTGTATATCCTACCATCACATTCTTCGAGGTTTTAGAGTCCAGCTTGTCACGTTTTTCTTTGGGTATCCACGTATACGCAATCGATCCAAAAACGCGCATCTTGTCCACGTTTGGTTTCTTGCCATACCAGATTTCATATGGAGTTTTCTTTTCTTCAAGAGCAGACGTCGGACTTCGGTTCAACACATATGCAGCAGTCTGCACAGCTTCGCACCACATTGATTTAGACAATTCAGCATCTTGCAGCATCGACCGGGCCTTCTCCGACAGTGTTCTATTCATCCTTTCTGATACTCCATTTTGTTGTGGACTGTACGGCACCGTGAATTCCAGTTGAACTCCTTCAGCACGACAGAAACTTCGAAACGATTTGCTGCTGTATTCTCCTCCGTTATCGCACCTGAGCCTAGCTATTTTCACGCCGAAGAATGCTGTCACCTGGGCATGGTAACGCTCGAACATCTTTTGAACTTCGTCCTTTGACTCTAACAAATAGACTACGGTGAAGTGGCTAAAATCATCGATGAACGTTACATAATATCGCTTTCCGTTCCAGGTAGTCGGAGTGAATGGTCCGCACACATCCGAGTGGACCAATTCTAGCAGTCGGCTTGAACGTCGTTCCGTCGATTCTTCAAATGCTTGCCTAGTCTGCTTCCCAGCCAAACATATTTCGCAGATACAACTATTTGGCCAGTCTTGAATTTTCGAAGAAGTTTCAACCATCGCATTCTTCCACAGACTCTTCAGATTACCTGCGCCAAGATGACCATACCTTCTATGCCACAAATCAAACCCATCGCTTTTGAACACCATCGCACTTGCGCATCCTGTCTCACTTCCGTCTCGGACAAAAATATCTAACGCATACAATTGACCCAATCGCCGACCAGTACAGACAATACGACCGTCCTTTTCTATAGTCACCTTTCCGCTGACGATCTTGACTGTCATATCATTATCTTCCATTCTCCGCACCGAAAACAGGTTGCATTGTAGCTCCGGCACGTATAATACCTCGTTTACCACGGCAGGTTGCTTCTTTCCATCGACCAGCATATCCACTCTTACGGTACCAGCGGTTTCAGCAACAATAACTTGGCCAGACTTCGCAACAGCTATGTGCATTTTACGCTTCAACGAATGTAATTCTTCGAACAACGATTTGTCTTTCAACATGTGATCAGTGGCGCCTGAGTCCAGGAACCACTCTATCTTCCGATTCTTCGACGAAGTCAGCAATGCACCACTGCCAGCGCTCGTAGTCGCAATGAAGGCCACCTCATTTTCGCTCGTAACATTCGCTCCAGCTTTCTGCCGTCGTCCAAATTTGCCTCCAGATTTCCAGTTCTTCTCTCGATCCTTTCTGTCGACTTGACGGTTCTCAGGACATTCAGCACGCTTGTGTCCAACACGACCGCAACCGTAACACTTGTAGCCAGCTTTTCTTCCAGCGAACGCAGATTCACCACTGCCGTTTTCTTCGTAATTCGTTGAACACTTACCGGACCGCTTCACTTGCTCATCCAACAAACGTTTCTTGACGTATTCGAGAGTTTGTTGATCGGGCTGAATGGTTTCCAAGGCAGTAATCAGAGCTTCATAAGATTTCGGCAGGGCTAACAAAAGTTGACAGACGACGTCTTCTTCTTCAGTCTTCACTCCTGCAGCTTTCATCTCACGAAGTACCTTCTCGAACTGGAGCAAAAATGACTTGACGTTCTCTTCTTCCTTGAGCCGCAACTCTTGAAACTGCTTCCGTAAGAATAGTTTTCCAGCGATTCTGACCCTTTCAAAGGCGTTCTTGAGCGCATCCCAAGCTTCCTTCGCAGTTCTCTTATCCTTCACATATTCCAGCTGATCTTCGGCTGTACGGTGAATTAACAGGTTCTTGCATTTTCTGTCCTTGGCCATTAGGGTGCTTCATTCTGAAAAAAGTGATGAATTTCTGATGGGCCACCCTCCAGTTCGATTCATAGCCCCAAAATATGAACCTGTGCAAAAATTGGTAAAGATTGATGAAGGTTTAGAGGTCGCGCCAATGATTTGAAATTTGTATGGGAATTACTATGGAAGAATTTAAAAAATCGCTTATATCGCTATAACTTTGCTTCTACTTGTCCAAATGTCGAAAAAATTTAGTATGTTATTGCTATGGCAATAAACAAAAAGCCTACAGTTGCTACGCTCAGTTTTGCAGCGTATCAAGAATTATAAAAATGTGAAAAAATGGCAAAATAGGGTAAATTGACAGATGAATATGTACAAGGCAACAACGCCAATTTCATCGCAACAACAACAGGCTTGTTGATCATTGTCATGACAACCACATATTTTTTTTTTTCAACGTTTGGACAACTACAACCAAAGTTAGAGCAATGTAAACGAAAATCAATAATTTCCCATACTAATTCACCAAAATCTCCATACAAAATACAAATCATTGGCGCGACCTCTAAACCTTCATCAATCTTTACCATTTTTTGCACAGGTTCATATTTTGGGGCTATGAATCGAACTGGAGGGTGGCCTATCAAAAATTCATCACTTTTTTCAAAATGAAACACCCTATTGGCCATCCGCTCGTCCAGTAGCTTCTTCTTCCGCTGCTTCTCTTCAGCAGTATCACCCGGAAGTTCCCTCGCGTACTCTTCGTCAGCAACAGCCTTCTCCAGACACTCCAGCAAGCCTTTGTCTTCCATCAATACTTCTATTCTGAACTTCCAGTTCCCGAAGTTTTCGCCGTTAAACAGCCAGAGTTTGTCGTCGCTCATCTTGAAGTCTTCTTCCGTACGAATCAAACGACCGTTACTTCACTATCGATTCCGGTTCCGTGCTGGGCCCATAACCTAATAAACTAGGCAGAGCAATTGGAAAAGAACTTCTTTATTGAACGAAGGTTTGTGAAGGAATGAAAAAATTAGTGACACGAATCTTCATGGGTTGCTACATGCTTGTTGTTTGAACAGAGTTGATCGGTTGCTACTCAACACGAACGTGGCACCATATCCCGAGACAGGAAGAAACAGAATGACGCTTTCAACCAAAAGCACGGCGTAGTCCAGAGAGGTTTTCAGCACGGTGATTTCGTATATTTCAAGATACATCGAGCGATTTCTTGGCAGTGGCAACCAGCAACCGTAATCGAGAAGATAGATAGAAGATTCCTTGAAGATCAACATCGTCTGATACAGTCGCACGCCAACTAGCTGAAGACTCGTGTTCTAGAAAGCAGTCCTATTAGCGGCGCCGGTGGTTTAGTGGTAAGCGTGATTATCTCTCACCCCAGCAGGCCTGGGTTCAATCCCAGTCGGCGCCGCCGGGATGTTCTGAGGCATAACTTCTCTGATCACGCCTTCCTTCGGAAGGGAAGTAAAGCCGTTGGTCCTCGGTTCATGAGTTGGTGGGTCGATAGGTAGGGTCCAGGTGTAGGAGTTGCCTCCCTGGCGTCGGTAGCATTGGTGCTCAGCACGGAAAACAAGATCGACGGAAAACAAATCAAGGAAAAAAAAATAGAAAGCAGTCCAACAGTTCATCCGACACCGCTATCAATATTCTTCGATGGCTTCGAACTAACAACTCCAATAGTGGTTCCAACTTACGATATACCTCAAGAGGATCCTACAGTTTCGCATGAAGAAGCACTGCAGTTTGAAGGACCATTTCCAAACAATCCAGATGATTGACGGATGATTTGTCGGAAAATGAAGGTACCAATAATGAGGAATCCGAAGATAAACAGGAACCAAAGGCAACTGAAGCAGAAGAACCAGTCCAAATGGCTACACCAATCCTAGAAACGTATGTTCCAACGGTTCAAGGCCTATTGTATTATGAAACCCCAGGGGGGAAATGTTAGATCCCAACAATCATTGGACACGCAAGCGAACCAGAGTAACCTTAGAATTAAATATTTATCACCTGACGATTCATTCCGAATTAGACTTCCAATAAAGATAGATAGTGGTAACCTCTTGAAATCGGTGACTGCCGGTCTGATATTTTTTATAGCCACCTCAGGAATACCTCAAGAAAGTCATTTGGGACCAATAATCTTCTTACCCTACTTAAATGACGTGAATTTGGTTATCGAAGGTCCACGACGATCGTATACAGATCGTCTTAAAATCTACGTGCGGATCTACTCGATTGATGACTGTCACTTCGTTCAACGTCAGTTTGAAGCCTTTGTCAGGTGGTGCAATATGAACCGAATGACAGTTAACCCAACGACCACTGATCAATGATCACTTTTACTCGAAAGAAGGAACCGAACTATGATCTTCGGGGCACAATGATCGAACGTGTGAGGCATGTATCTGGGAGTCATTCTGGATTTTCAACTTACGTACAAGCAACATATCTCGTACGTCGTTGAAATGGTGTCAAGGACATTTGGCTTTATTTTCAGAATTGCAAAGAACTTCTTGGATATCTATTTCCTCAAGCCACTTTACTCGCATCATAATAATCCAACCTATTGACATCCATTACGATCGCATTAAAAACAAGTGCTTCATATGTACATTGCACACCTAATTTACTCAATCCATACCACTCTTTCACCCCTCGCCTCTTTTCCCTCATCTTCCAGTGCCCGAACCTGCCTCAACTATTGCCGCCAGCTGACGACGACGACCGGGATGAATAATGGGCCGGCTTCGTCGGGTCGGGGCCGCGGTGGCAAACGCCAGCAGCAATCGCTGTACAGCCCCGGCAGTGGGCCGCTGCGGAAATCGGAGAACTCCGGCAGCAACCGGTCGCTGAACTCGCTCGGCGGTGGTGACGGTCCTCCCTCCATGGGCCGCGATCGGGACCGTGAACGCGATCGCGATCGAGGCGACTGGGGGGGTGGTCAGAGCGACGGGTGGCGATCGGTCAACAAGAAAAGTAACAACAAGAAGCACGACTACTACGACCAGCGACGGAACGATGCACCGCCGGGCTTCCGACAGGCTTCCGAACCGCGGGTGCTGTCCACCAATCCACCCAACGTGAACTACAACCGGCCTCAGGATCGACTGCGCAACGAGCGGGACACCCGAAGCGTAGAACCTAGCTTCGGAGGCCGCGGCAGCTCCAAGAAACCCCTATTGCCTTCAAACATCGACAGTCTACCGCCTCGGTTGCAGCGAAAGTTCCTCCAGGACCACGGTCTCCCGTTGGACTATCTGGAAAATCTACGCAACGAGCAGGCCAATGCGCATCCCCCGCAGAGCTGGTCGCACACACTTCCGATGTCACCTCGTTCGCGACCGCCGGGCATGCGCGGAGGCGGCCGGACTCGATACTCAGGGAACTACCAACAGGGTGGCTATCAACAGGATTACCGTGCCCGAACTCCGGTGGATCTTCAGCGTCCACGTAGCCGATCGTCGGATATTGGAGGAGATCAAGGAGATCATCACCACCAGCAGCATCCGCAGCAGCAGGACTTCGATAGACCACCGAGATCGAACAGCAGAAACTCGAGCTGCGATCCGAACGATCGGTGGAATAGCAATTATGGGCTTCCGCCAAGGGACGCCGGAGGCCGCGGCGGATACGTCGATGAGCATGTACAGAGCGGTGGTGGTGGCGGCTTCCGGAAGGACGGTGGACGTAGCCGACAGTACTCGGATGGTGGCGGTCGAATTGACGAAGACGATGGCAGAAAATCTGCCGGAAAATTGGTGAGTCGACATTGTTGTGAGCCCTGGGAATTGTTTCACAACTATTGTTTGTATTCCAGGACTGGGCTGATGATGTTGAGCGGGAAGCGATGCAAGAGAAAACTGCCAACAGCACCTTAAACAACAACATAAATCAGAACACTAGCAACAACAATAACACTAACAATAGGAATAGACGTCGACATCGAAGGTGAGTAATTTCCGTGCTAATGCACTCAGCGATACTCATTTTCAAAATTTCTTACGATTGGTATTTTGGTAATCTTTCCACCGCCTAACGCTCTCAGGAATGGAAATCGGAAAAAGATGAAGGGATTAGCGTAAGATCATCAATCTGCTTACTACCTAGTATTGTTTCATCTCGATTTTTCCAATACACTGAAAAGATAATTCAAACGATTGATTAATCGAAAGTTGTTTGAATATTTTATTCAGTGTCCACCTAATCGTTCGTTGTTTGATAATCCATTTCATCTACATCCTCTTGCAGCAACTCCCGTTCGAGCCAAGACTACTACGAGGGTGAGGGTGGTTTCAAAGTTCCTTACCCACCGGGGAAGGGAAGCGCCGGAAGCAGTGGCCGCAGCCGTCGTAATTCGCAGTCCTCCAACTTGAGCCGCGAGAATAGCATGGATCGAGTGGCCTACGCAGGAGGTGGAGGCCGTGGTCGTGGCGGTGGAAAACACTTTGGAAATCAAGACGGCAGTCAGGATCGGTATTACGAACGTGGGGTAGTCGACGGAGGAAGAGCGTACGGTGGTCACCGGAAGGGCGGTGATCGGTACAGCAACAGCAGAGACAACAGTATGGATCGTGGCAATTGGCAACGTGGTGCTAGCGGTGGTGGTGGCGGCGATTCCGGTAACTGGAGAGGACCGGGCGATGGCGGTGAAAAGACGGATGTGAAGATTGCGGAAATGACGAAGCAGTTCGAGGAGCAGATTGGAATTCAAAAAGGTCCCGGGGTGTTGGTACTTCCGCCGAGGATTCCAACTCCGGGAGGTGGTGCAAATGCAGTACGAGAGGACCACCTCCGGGAGGATAGTTCAGGCAACGCCCGGACGTTGTTCGATCCAAAGAATCCTAACAAACCGATTATGATTACACCGTCGCAATCTCGCAACTACAATCCTCCGGAGAATTTAGACGAACTGGCATCCTCCACCGGTGGTACCGAGCGCAAGCGAATTGCCAGTGGCAACCAAATTACCAGTGCCCGTCCTCCTTGGTACGATACCAATGCTCCTCAAGCCAATCTCCTTCGCAGTAAGGAACTGGTCCATCAACTGGAAGCGGCTGACAATCGCCTTCAGGAATTGCTACTCAGTGGAAACCTGTTCCACGAGTGGGACCTCTACGTCCAGATCCGTACCGATCTCCAGAAACTGCTGGAGTCCTTCCTCCTGTCGGAGATGCGTTTCTCCCAGGACATCAACATTGAGCACCACTTTTGGAAGCTACTCTACTACAACATCATTGAGCAGATGCGGAAACTGCTGGCTGAAAATCCGGACCAGAACATTCGAGCGTACTACCGGGAGAAAGCGTTGGACATTATCGAAAATGGGGCGCAATTCTTCGAACAGCTTCTGGCCATGCTGGAGAAGCAGTTCAATTTCAGTTTGGAAAAGTTTACCGGCCCGAACGCGGCCACCAATACCAAGGGTCTCAAATGTGGCCTGGCGTTGGTGTCCGCCCAGAAGGTGTTCCTGTTCCTGGGTGACTTGGCGCGGTATCGCGAACAGGTCAACGAAGCGAACAACTTCCGCAAGGCGAAACAGTGGTACGTCAAGGCGCAGCAGATTATGCCGAAAAATGGACGACCCTACAACCAGCTGGCGCTGCTCTCGGTCTATGCGGTGGGTGGTTTGTTGGTGATTTTGGAACTGACGACTGACTGATGGTTCGTTTGATCGTTTCAGAAACGCAAAATTGACGCTGTTTACTTCTATATGCGCAGTCTGATGTCCTCCAATCCGTTTGAGTCGGCTCGCGAGAGCTTGATGGACTTGTTCAACGAGACTAAGAAGAAGGTAAGTTCCCATAGCGAATAATGTGTTCTAAGCTGTAGTTTGAGTTTTATTATCCATGCTAGAGAAAGTATGGAGTGATTTGGTGCTTGATTAACATAACTTTACTAGGATGGATGGAAAGTGATGAACGTTTCGTTCGGTAAATTATATGGGCAGTGTCATTCATACCACCTATATTAGTAGTTACTGATTTAGCGGCAACGATTTTTGGTTGCAAAACAAACGAGAATTACCGTAAAATACTCAATAATGGGTACGAGGTACCCTGGACAGCTGTTGGGTTTTCGTTGGCTGATAGAAACTCTGACGATGATGATGTGGAGGTAGACGTAGACCCAGATATGGGTGATGACGATGAAGACGAGGGCGATGACGAAGAAGCTTCAGGTGATTCCCACACTTGCGCAGATGCCTCGGGTGTCAGCGCCTCAAGCAGTGTGGATTGCTCAGTTGGAACTCCAAGCGTTGTTGACGTCTGGTCGGTGACTGTAGATGACGATGATAGTTGTAGCGGTTGCTGTTGAGCGTGGATTAGGTTAGTTTCATGCTCTAAGCAGAATGTCTATTGGTAACATTTTGTCTGACAGTACCGGTTTCGGTGAAGACTTGTCACCAGATGCTCGACTGCGCAATTGATTGAGATGCGATCGAAGCATACGCTTATCTTCCACCCATACGTTGAACATAACACGCCCAATAGGTTTCAGAACTACACCGGGCACCCATCTCCATTGGTTGTTTGAGTACACCTCCGCATATACTGCATCGCCATTCTGAAAGGATCGCCGTTTAGTCCTTTGTTCCTCACTAGTTTCCACTACTAGAACAATTGGTGGACGCAGCAAGTCCAGGCTGGTACGAATCTTGCGTCCAAACATTACTTCGGAGGGTGATCTAGCATCAGGTGCGCATCAAAGCATCCTGAATGGCTCCTTTCCCCCTCTCTGATTTTCTTCACTGACATCTTAAAGGTGTCCACGAACCTTCCTGCTGCCTGTTGATTTCGGCCCTATCGAACTGGGGTCCGTTGTCGCTGATCAGAGCTTCCGGCATGCCGAGACGAGCGAATAGACTTCGGAGGATACTGATAGTGGCAGAGGCAGTGATTGATCTTGTTGTGACGATTTCCACCCACTTGGAATACGAGTCGATGTCTAGTAGCAAGAAATTCTCGCCTTCGATCGGTTCAGCGTAGCCTATTTGCATCCGCTGCCATGAATGCTGACTTTGATTGCGGCCAATCTTCTTGGATAAACCGGTAGAGTTTTCCAAGATCTGGATCGGAACGGATGGAAGTGCGTCCACTGAATTTGCCGCAATTGCCTTGACATCCTTCTCCAGAATAACGCTAGCTACTACGAAATCCTCCTCTGGCTTGACATGGTGTACAATGAGCCGAGACAGAACATCTGCGTTGCCGAATTTCTCCGTGTAGACATAGACGATCTTGAAATCATACATCAGCAACTGTATTACAGTAGCGCCCAACGTTGTGAGCGGTTTGCAGTGTAGACCGGGATACCGTTCTTTGATCCGTCTGCAGCGTAAAGCTTCGCCCGAAAACCATATTATGGATTTTGGTTACAGCGAAAATGATCGCAAGACTTTCGCGATCTGGTTGGTTGTAGGCTTGTTCCGCAGATGTCAACGACCTCGACGCATGATGCACAACCTTGATCCGGAAATTTGTGGCTATGTGTATCCCCGACTCCTATCGAATATGTGTCCGCCGACTCGATGATCTCAAGTGCCGGATTGTAGTGCGTTAACAGCAAATCGGAGGCCAGAATCTTCTTGAAGTTTTCGAAAGCTCTTTGGCATTCGGGTGATCAGATGAACTGCTTGCCGGTTTTGAGCAGCTCATCGAGTGGATATCTCAGCGTGTGCATTCCGTAGTAATTAATCGCCCCCAAGAGCGAACGCACTCCAGATACGTCCGTTGGGGCTGGCATGTTACGGATCGCTTCGATTTTGTTTGGATCCGGGCGTAGGCCCATCGATCAGGTGCCCCAGGTATTCGATCTGGCGCTGGTCGAACGAGCACTTCTCTTCTTTGATGGTAAACCCGTAATCCTAGATTCGATGGATGACGGCTTGAAGGTTGCGTTGATGGTCTTCTTCGTCCACCCACCCCTAGAACATCGTCGAGTTACCTTGAGTCCAACCAGCATGGTGTGCACTATAATAGTCGCCATATTCATAGTCTGGCGGATAGGATCTCGGGAACTAATCGAGCAAATCACGACCAACAACAGAAAAGAGCACATCAGCTATTGCGAACAAAACTTCGGAAACCGTTTTCTCGTGATTCAAGGCTCGCCTACGCAAACGAACATTATCTTTGGGTTGGGGGAAGATTCCCCTATCAGATGATGCCGGTAATTTTCCTTCGATTGTCGAGGAAAGAATAATCGACGTTTTGTTTATAAAAGTTGATAGGACTTTTTCAATTGTTGGTCTACAATATATTGAATTGGTTCCGCTTTTTGATGGATCGTAATTCTATCCACCAGACTATGAATATAGCGACTATAGTGTGCACCAGCTGCTGGAATGTCCCGGGAACACCGGGTGGAAGTCGATTATAACGGTAGAGTCTCCGATGCGTGTTGATGGTTAGCATATCTCGAGACTCTTCTTGTACCTCGACCTGCAAAAAAAAGGGCAGACATATCAATTTGGCTAAATACCTTACAATTGGCCAGCTTTGCTAAGATATCTTACGGCAGCGGAAGTGGGTACTATAGTCGCTATATTCATAGTCTAACGGATAGAATTTATCTATCTATCGAAAAGCGGAACCAATTCAAAATATTGTAGACCAACAATTGAAAAGGTACTATCAACTTTTATAAATAAAACGTTGATTATTCTTTCCTCGCTAATCGATGGTAAATTACCAGCATCATCGGATAGAGGAATCTTTCCACAGCCTAAAAATGAGTTTAGTTTGTGTACGCGAGCCTTGAGTCACGAGAAAACGGTTTGCGAAATTTTGTTCGCAATAGCTGATGTTGGTCGTGATTTGCTCGATTGGTTCCGCTATTTGACAGCTCAATTGGTTCCCGAGATTCTATCCGCCAGACTATGAATATAGCGACTATTATAGTGGGTACTGATGCGGATGAAGTGCATCATTCAACCCTGTTGAGTAGTCACCGCATATCCTTATTGCTCCGCTCTGCCTTCCTGGCGACAACGATCGGTGCTGCCTAACCCGAATGCTCGACTGGAACACGGGTTGTGTCCCTACGTTCAGCGTGAACTTGGCCTTTGTCGTACACAAACCTGGAGCATCGCTGAACACGGTTAGGAAGAGTTTTTTTTAGGGAACTGATCTGGTTGCAAAAACGATTCATCGGCATCGACCAGAAATTGAATTGGTCGATGCGATCTAACCCCAGCAAATTGAGTTGCTGCTTCGTCCCATTGATGAAAATTTCACAGGCACACTCAAACTCCAGCTCAATGGCTTCCCTGACACCGTCGCAGGACTGGAAGTGGGCTGACTGATTTGTCGCCACGTCTTCTCGGAAATAATGCTGATGTCCGATGCCGTGTCTAATTGGAGGTTCCTGTTCGGACTCCTTGCTTTCCTCGCACTGGAACGATACCGGTCCTTGTGACCATATTGCTTGATTCACGACATTGATGCTTCTTGAAAGGGCAATACTTGGCATAATGCATGGAACCGCAGTTCCACCATGGTGAACCCAGAGCAGTTGCGTTGACATTGCTTGATGCTGCCAGTGATCCAGGCTTTTCGTATCGGGATGCACGCTTCCCGACAAACTACCTACTTTTGAGCGCCTTGCCTGCTGTTGAAGGCGGCCCTGTCACAATCATCGATGTGCCGTGTTTGATGTTGAGGAGTCGTTGACACTCATTCGAAATATGCTCCAAGGTTGTATCAGCCCTTTCTTCAATCTTGCTCAACAATCTCGTTCGAACACCCGCGTCATTCTCCACTTTTAATCCGCACACGAACAACAGGCACTTGAATTGGTCCTCAGTTAGCTTACCAAGCTCAAACTCCACACACGCACAGTTTGTTAACTCTGCCTGCCTACGATTTGAAGTGACTGGCAAGCACCGCCTAAGCACAAACTCTGGTGTCACAAACAAACTTTTCAGCTTGCTCACGGTGTCTTCAAAGCTGACATCCTTCGGATATTCTGGAAGAATGTAGCTAGTGTAGCGATCGTGTTCCGTCGGTCCTGTTTGTGGAGGAGTAATCGCACCTTTGTCTCATCATCAAGGAGAGCGAGCAGCGTCTTTAGCAAACAAATCATCATAGAGAACTTTGACCGCCAATGGATATGGCTTTGAATTCTCATGTGATTTGATGTATCGCTTGATGGATTTTGAATTATAAATGATTTACCACTTCCCTGGTGGTTGTCCTGGTGTGGCCAACATGGTGCTGGTCACTCATCATGACTCTTAATGATCTAATTTTTGAATTCTCATGTGAATTGATTTTAAAATGGTGGATTTGGCACGTTTGGCTCTGGTCTGATGAAGACCCATACTCACCGGAATATGTTCCGGCCATTGCTCTGGAACCAGCGGAACAAATCCAGAAACATTCAATAAGTTTCTATGGGACCATGTTATCTTTCTACTGTCCACTTTCTACTTTACACAAGAACAACCCTCTACGACCGATGATCTTTTGAACCTGGAGACAACCATTAAATTCTGCTTTTACGAGACGTTCGTTGTTTCGATTTGGTCCTTACGTAAGACGGGAACAGAATCCATAAAACTTTCACATTTTTGGGCTACCGTGTCCCTTACTTCAACTAAGTAAATTACGACTGACGCGACGATTTTACCAGCGTACAAATATTGTCACATCTTTAAAGCACGCATGCAAACACCTCCATCAGATAGGGGAAATTGTCTACGCAAACTCGAGAGCTAAGGTATAAGAGGGAATGCATGGGTGCTTCTAAAAAGTTACCTATCTAACCGGCAGTAATTTGTGTCTGTCAACG